AAAATTGATAAAATAGAGAAATGAACGGTACTATCGCTCGGAAAAATGAATGATATTCCCAGTGCAAACATACACTGAGAAGAAGAGTCCTGCGGTTGGTTTAATTTAAATTCTAGTTGAAAATAGATTAGAAATTTCTGGTTAAATTTACTAGAATTCTCATTGAGATAACCGAAATTCTGATTGATATAATCGGAATCTTCTAACGGTTCTGACTTCGCCCATTTTCAACCAGACATTTTTCTCAGTATAACTCTCTTGAAACGAATGTCAAGCATTTGTCACACGCATTTACGTGTTTCTGATTAATGTTTCGTCATCGGTCACTCATTTTAAGGATAAAAGCGAGATCAGGTCGATCGCCAGTCGACAAGACCTTGACTCAGTGGCCGTATGCAGCGACGAGTGCGCACGCGCTCTCTCTTTCTCTCTCCCCCTCTATTTCTATCTCTCTCTCTCTCTCTCTCTCTTTCTATCAGTCTGGCGGCAATAAGCCAGGGCAGAATGTAGTAGAGCTACTACTACCCCTCTACTATTACTACGCTTACGTTTACCACCCTCTCGATCGTTGGTGTGCTTACGACACCCTGCTCACGCGCGCACGTGTATGGCTCGAGCCTCCTACGCAACCGATTAATGAATGCGTCACACGAAGAGGTCTGCGCCCGATGTCCCACACTCGACCCGCGATCCCTGACCTCCGACTCTCGACGAAAATGTAACCCTTGTACGATTTAGAACAGGAGATTCGAATGATCTCCTATCCGAAGATCGACCACTGGATATCTCCATGTTATCTTTTTTTTTTTTTTAAAGAATAAATGAAGCATAATTTTTATCCCTTTCAGCTTTATCGTTCTCGGAATTACTAAGCAGTGGCAATTAGTATGTTCTCCCTGTGGGGAAATCGCCTTGATTTTACATACAAATACAAGCATTATCCGACGCCAACGTTATCATCGGAGTCATCCTATTATGTATAATTAATCTTTTTTTTCCTTTTGCACGCGTATATTATTTCGATTCGAATAACGAGAAACAGGGGAATGATTCGAATCTGTTAATCTCTCCATCGGAAAATTTGAGCGATTATTAAAAGTCTCACAAAGATAAAACATTCAGTATACAATCAATTATGAAATAAACTCAATTTAGTTTTGAAAAAGAAAGTAGACTCCGATTTCAATTACTGAAAAATTCACTCTGTAGATCTTAGTCTCGGTTCAGGTATACATAATTTGTATGAACAATTCAATATCATTATCTGATATGCTTCTTTACAACATGATTGGTAATGCTATCGATTTTCTGGACAAACGTAACGGATGCTTTAACGCCATTCGCGTTATATGAATAATTACATAATTCGCGACGAGATGATGTTGAGAGATTCTACTATGGAGTATATCGATCACGCCGCAATTATCCGATATTAACGCATACGTGTTGGAGCGAAATCTCGTTTTCCTACTTGTCGTAAAATAAATCAAGTGTCTTTATATTAGGGACAAGACAAACCGATATGAAATTAACCTGTAACATTTATGTGTTCGGGAAAATCTCTCTGATTCATCGTCAGTGCCTTTAATACCATAGACATTTATACGTTATTTATGTAAACGGATATACTAAATAACCGAATGACTATAACGTGGATGGAAAGGTCAAAGGATACTCCGAGATAACGGAACGCGTCTCTGTCCTTGAAAAGACCGAAGCGTTCTAGTTGCAACAGCACTGCCTGCTTTCTAAAGTTTTAAAGCGTGAGCTGTATCTAACCCTGCAAATTACCATAATCGGGTTTGCAGCATCGATTATGCGAATTGTGGCCGAAGCTTCGTTCACGCTATGTTCGAATTCGTGCTTGCAGGTACGCGTCCCACTGAATTTAAACTAGATTCGTGCTAAATTAAGAATTTACAACTGCAAAGTAAACTCGCGCGCGAGGTGAAATACGAAAAAAATATCGATTTACATTCGCGTACATTTTGCGGCCGGGATATTTTAGCGGATTTCAACAGACACGATAAATGATCAGGATAAAAAACGTGAAATCTGCAGAATTCAAACGTGGAAAAAGAGTCGAATAGGTTCAAGGTTTACTATATATGTTTAAAGTATATAACCTTTGAACATTTGACCTCCGTTTTTAGAGTTACGTAGGAGAAATGTTGTCGATGAAGGGCACTCGATGACGAAATCGAAATCTATGTCAAGTGTCTTCTATAAGAGAGAGAGAGAGAGAGAGACTGCGAGAGCATAAGACAGAGCAGAGTGCAGATTCCAGAAATCGTGTTGAACTTAAAAGAAGTCACTCGTCAGCTTCTAAAAATCAGTTAAGAGGGGCAATTGAATCTTTTTTGAAGGACTTCTCAACCTTTTGCCTCATTTGGCTTCGTATAAGAGACATGGATTCGCGCTTGATTCTATAGTTATATACGCTTACGAAGCTTAGCCGCGGCACAGATAACGTTTATCTATAATAGGAACGGGCATCCCTTTGCTAACAAATGGCACGTTATCTCGGTAATGCCGCCTTTTCATTGGCCCGCAGAATAATTTGACCCTTCGATAAGAGAAAGTAAGTTTGGCCGCGAATCTCGATTATCGTACCGTTATTTAAACGATCGTTCTCGTCAAACTTATTTCAGGTCTGTCTTATCTGGCGACGTTCAATTTCGAGTACAATCCGCGTAATCGCTAACCCTTCAGCGACTCCAAATCTCCGCGGTAACACGAATGTGTCTTGTCACGTGCAGACGCTATTTTTATTTTAATTTTAAAGCCCCGGATTATATCTGACTTGGGATTATATTAGATTCAAGACGGTATATTATCATCCATGCAAGAACAGAATGCTGTTTTTCATGTTCATGCATCCTTCGTGTGGTCGATGGGAAAATGTTTTCGCTCCGTTTTAGCCGATTTGTCAAATTCACGACACACTTGGAAGTTTCTGGGAAGATATCGATTGCAGGCGCAGCCTACCTTTGCTGTTATACCGGCACGATGCGCGACGGCCGAACTTTTACCGTTTTCGCGTGCTTCGGACACATCGACTGGCAACTTTCAAAGCGATTGTTAAAGTAGCGGTAACCCTCGCACGATTCTCATAGACACTGTCCAGAAATCATGCAATCTATTGAAATTTGCATTTATTCTTCGAATTATCATGAATCTACTTGGAAACATTACATCTGTTAATGTGAAAATAATAGTCTTCTGTCCTTATATATAATGCAAAATGCGAACGGATATCGGATAGAAAATGTATGATCGATATCTACTACTGTTACTTTAACTGCGCTGTCACTGTTATTTAAACATGCAACATTATCGTTGTTACGTTTTTTATCAGTTAAGTATTGTTTGGTTAATCTAGAGTCAATTCTCAGGAAAACAAACTCGAGGATCAAAACCAACCTCGAAGAAATACTGACAGTTATCTTTTTCGGTTTGTCGAGGGACAAACGCAGCGTTTAGATTCTGAATTTTTAATATGCTTTTTACCTTAATTCCTTATTTCCATGCATAAGATCGTCTTATCCATCTCTGACGATGATATCCAGTTTGTCAAGGATATCCCAGCTCTAAAAAGAGCAGACGAAGAAAGCGGAACATCCGAATGGCACGCCAAGCGCGTCTCAACGATAAATAGAGGGTAATTTAGTTTCCGTAATACTCGTCGCTAATTCTACCTTCTACCCACGTTGTTGCCGTCTCGCGGAGGGTCGATGTTACGCAAGCGGAAGAATGTCATGAGTTACATCATACTCATCCCCGCGACTGTGCATTCAATATATCGATTCATTCCCCAACGCGACGCGACGCGAGGCGACGTGACGCGTCCTTGTTATTTCGTGCAACGGTCAGACGGTCGCCAGACTGACGTAGATGAAAATAGTTACGTGGCAAAACGAATCGACAGCCGGAGCAACCTGTCAAGTGCATTATGTGATCGATATACATTCCTGGAATGTATTCAAGGCCAGTGCTAGGAAATTCGATTTTACCTGTCTGTATTATTGTTTTATTTTTTTTTTTATATTCCATATCAGTATTTTATGTATTATGCATTCTCGACTGCGTGTCGCGCCAACATGAGAAACGCAAGTATACAGATATACATAGGCGTCTTGCCCTCGGATAGAACTACACGATGATATATCAACGAGTGTAATGGTACACGCGTCGTAATGTCGTAGATAAATGGATACGCGTGTTTATGCACCGGTGCATCGTCGCGTCGTTTTCCAAAGAGTGCACTCGATGAACAAAAGTCTGGATATACTCGATAAGAATTGGTTGTTCCGTAGAAACGCAATCTCCGCTTATTTATGAGAAAGACATAAAGACACGGAAACGTATAGGACATAAATCGATATCGTTTCCCATTTCTCTCGGGAGAATGGAACATTTACGGTGTTTTAAAGGTATCGGAAGCACGGTGCTTTAGATGTAAGGATCTTAACCGTCGATGTACGTAATAACGTGGCGCAATATAAATTTATAATACGATGAATCTTACGCGGTTTGAGATGTGATTAAAAGATATATACATGAGACACAATAGAGGACACAAAAATATAAAACATATCTGAGATGTACGTATATTTACGGAGCTTTTAACAATGCTCGAACAGACAGTTTAGAATGAGAAAAGTTACCATTCCACCGAGTGATTCTATTTACGCCCTATGCAAGTTTCGAGTCAGCGAGGTGAGTCGCAACTGGGTCACCAAGGGAGCTCTTGAAAAGCGTTTGATTTCCCATAGCACCATCCTAACGCCCCTATTGTCGTCACGAAAAACTACGCATGCAATTATTATTTATTAAATAATCTGCAAAACTTAAAATTGTCTTGCAACGGCGAGCATCGCTGAACAATATTAAATTTAAAATACTTAATCGCGATACAAGAGTCACATTATTTTAATATATCAAAAGATACGAGAGAGTTGTCTAACACATTTCTAATAAAATGGTTTACGTTGTTTTAGGAACTTCAACAATGTGAACGTACAAACAAACGCAAATGCCCAACAAGGCACGGCCTCGTCAAGAGTGGTCTCCTCAATCCCTCTTAGATGTCTTGTGAGTATAAAAAAATTTCAATCGAGGAATATAACCTTGATCAATTTTTGCTCCGAAATTTTCTGAATTGTATCGTAGAATGAGGCGAGATTGATAAAAGCTTTTTGGAAATATCTTTAAATAATTTCTGTAAAATATACACAGAGAAAAAGATTTCTTTCGATTTAATAAATTTTATTGTATCCAAATAAATTTATTATTTGGAATGGTCCAACCAAACCAATGTTTAAATCAATAAGTGCGATTGTTTGAATTTGAAACAATGTATATCTTTGTCTTAAATACATTATTTGTTTGAACAGATAATATCTATTTTCGGCATTCGCGTGATCAAATTGTACTGCACAAACATAATTGATATAACATATAGTGCTGTTCGTTTAATCCTGTCGTTAGACGTATAAGCCATTGTTTTCATAATTTCGGCTAAAAAATATAATTTGTTGTTCTGAGAAGGCAATTATTTGCATGGACCTCTATCATAACCTCTACCATCATCTCTATCAATATATTTTGCCATTTTCAAACAAATAATTTGTTTCATTGTTTGTATTCATTGTAACCAAATAATATATTATTTGATTGAAAGATATTATTTCAAATAATAATATTATTTTTGTCAAATAATAGAGGTTTCTCGAATGAAACAACAAAATTTTTATTCAAACAAATAATATTTCGTACAAGCATATGTTGTTTTAATAAAACAAATTTTAGTCAAATAAATAGGAATATTAAATCCAAAGAAATCTTTTTCTCTGTATAGCATCTATGATATTAAAAGAACTAAAATATTCCTTTCCATCCAAATAATGTTTTTCTCTTTTTAATTTGTTATTAATTTATTATAACTTTTATTTTTATATTTGCACTACCAAGAATACCTCAGTGACAAGTAACAATAATATTAGTTTGCTATTGCAAAAAAATTACGCGAATGCGTACAATAATTTTCATTTTATGAATGAATAAATATATATTAAAAGTTATTATCAATGTTGTTCCGTTCCGGTACTCGCAGGTTCAATATACTTTAAATTATTGTATCTTTTTGCTTAAAGTTAATGTATTATAATTAAACGATTTTTATTTTGAGAGAGTCAAACTACAAGAAATAAACAATAAATGTCATACTACAAGAAATAAAATTATATGTAACTTAAAATAAGTAAGATTGTGAAAAACGTTTGTTATAAACAATTTTTTACAACGATGTTGATGAAAATCCGGATCCATTGAACCTGTGAATACTAATTAGAGAGGACTAAATTATATGGAAAGTATATTTCAATATATTTCTTCTTCGTTTGTGCTCAATTCAATTACATCACAATTCGAAATCTTGCGGAATCCGCGGCGAGAGAACCGTATATAATTAGTTAATTAAAGTTTCCGCGTTTGTCCTCTGGACAAGAAAATTGCTGCTTTCCGCGGTTACATCCATTGAACTAGCTCGCGAGATAGAACATTCAATTTTAACGGCACGGAAGATCATCGTTTGTTGCAATCCTTCTTTTATATCTAACGCGTAGTTATCTTTGTAATAGGATATGAAATTTCATGCCCATTCAAAGTAAAATCGCTTCGTAAGTGTTCATCTAGAAAGTTACGTTAATGTGTCATATAAATTTGCCTAGTCGTACGATTATATACGGCACGGTGATAAGTAAATAGCGAGTCGTTTTGATAGTGACGAGTGCGAGCATCGCATCGCGAGGAGCGCAACGACGCGGAAGGCAACTCTGGAAATTGCAATTTGTCCGAATAACACGGGCCGCGTATTTCCCACGAAAACACCTCGGCCTGCTGCGTCGCGGCACCATCGTGTCCACGCTACGCGATACCGCGTCATGGCACAAAGCAAATTTTAGCCAGAAAACTTGCGCGTCAAATGGCTCCCGTTGTGCAATAGGGAGTCGACTATGTCGCGAATATTATTCCGGGCGTGTCCCGAATTCCCGAAGCGAAGAGACAGAGAGGCTTGTTAAAGATATAATATTAAAGAGCGTCTGGATACACACGATACGCGCGGAGTCGTTCGTAACATCAAGTATCTAGTTACAGATAAAGAAGAAAGTCCGGGAAAACACTCGTAAATACCTGCAATCTCTTTCGAACGTGCGCGGTTTTATAAGATTTTTCGAACGCGGGGGAAGAGATGTAAACGGAGTAACAAGATGAAGAGAGAACGACTTCGTTAGCGATAGATTCACTAATTGCGATCCGAGCTGCAATTAAAGCCGAAACGACGAGACGAGACACGCGCTACGTACATACTTGATTATTCTGACAAATCAACGTGAAACTGATGATGTGACGTTGCTGAGGCGTATCGGCGGTAAACGTTAGAGAAGCTATTACATCGGAATACAAAATGTAGCCACATCAAATTTAGATTGCGCTTTGTCTCAGGGGTACCGACCTTTCTGCATCATTTATAGCGGATCGATCTTTCGCTACTCTGACCCGTCTCCTTCTACTTTGTCCTCCGTTCTCCTGCGTCTCGTTTCAGAAGTTCATTAGCTATTCGGAGTTTAAGAGCTCTCGACTACAAGTTTCGTCACTTGTGAATTTTGATTCATTTTCGGGCTACGCTCGAGATGTGGACGACTTTCGCCATCGTGGGATCTTTATTCACGTGAGAACACGTAATTTACATGCCTGTTGCGCTAATGCTGTAAATATCTCATCTCAAGCAACGTTAACAAATGTAATTTCAGGCAAGTTGAGAACGCGAGAACGTCTCTTATCAATTTTTGTTATCGAACGTCACCAGCAGCGATAAGCGCGAAAAACGGCGATACAATATACTCGTAATTATCGATAATATCGTTTCTTTATTTTAGAGTAACATAATTCAAAGAATGTGATTACCAAGTTATTACCATGAACGAGTTAGATAATGATTATTCTGTCAATCATCAAAAGTAAACTAATTTAACTTCACAATCCGTTAAATAACACTTATGTGGTTCTTAAGGTTTTTGAAGAGATCATAATTCTACAAGAGTGACACATATTTTTTGAGTTGTCGGTTTTGTAAGTGAAAAACGGAATCTTCTACAGAGAACGTTTAGAGTTGAGACAGTTTTGTGATTAATAAAGTTTGAAGAAGAAATTGTTTTATCTTGAACGTATCATTTTAGCTGGTCAAAGTAAATATAAACTGTTGATGATATTTCGAGTTATGTTACTTTTGATGAATTATTCCGGATTTGTTATAATTTTGTAAGATATCAATATCGTCATAATTCAAAAAGGATTTTAAAGGTTTTTGTGAAACAAAAATGACATTAAATCATATTTCTAGGAGTTTATTCTTTTTTCCACGATATTATTTGATTAATTATTAATTTTCTATTAAGTTGAAAAATAGATTTTATCTTTTTCTGAAAAACTTAATTTTTTAAAATTGTATCACTATTGAAGTAAGAGAACAATACGATATCGGAAAAGATACACCGATAAATATGTAATACATATTTTATTGGATAGTACTAACTTAATCGCCCATTATTTTTCGCTCACGGGACAGCATGCGGGTCGATGATTTATCGTTCGCAGGGCGAACCGCGAAATCCTAACGTATGACTTGTGAAACGCCGGTAAATCCACCGATCGATGCTTTTGAGCCCGCATTCAATGGAGAACGAAATTAGCGAGCACAGCATTGACAACCGCTTTGTTCGTCTGTCACGCGAACGTTCCCGCGATAAATTTGCACCGTAGCGTTTCGTGTAAATGCCAATCAGCTGCATAATTATCGGTCACGAGCCACTGCGGTGGCCCGAAATTGTTTCGATTCCCTTAATTAGAATTTTATACAGAACATAAGCTACTCCTTGCATTAAATAATGTATTAGTCACACTCTCCCTAATTCGTTTCCGATAAATCGGATCTTGAACTGAAGTTGTAATGGCTCGCAAATTAGACGTCTGTGGGGTATCCGTGCACCGTGTCCGCGTGCACGGTGGACTGTAATAATCGGCAATCACGGTGAGACTTAATCATTCCTACCGCGCCTCGGTGAAGAAAGAATAGATTAGAGACGTCGTCCGTAACTAATGGCGCTGTTGCGTGCTAAGAGGAGAGAAAAACGAGAGAAAAAAAAACACGATTGCCCTTTGGAAACCGAGGATATTTTTCAGAGTGAGACTCGTGCTCGAGAGAGCTGAGTCGATAGGTACTTTGAATATCAGGTGAGACAACCGTTTCTCGATGTCTGCCGCAGGTGGATGCCCCGCTCCGCTATGAGGCCGGCCGAGGGTGACGCATCGGATTGCATTTTGGTGGTCGGCGTATCTAGATCGAAAATGGCCGTCGCTTTTTTATCAGTCGCCCTGCTGTCTCTCTTTCTCACCTTCCACATACTTTATGACAGCGCCGTTTACAGTCTCCACGCGGTTTCCGCCGTCGAAGGACGCACGGTCGAGCTGGTTTCTCAGGTATGTGTTTCGTGTCTCGTAACAAAAATACATGCCGCTATCTATTTCCAAAGACAGAACGGCTGCTATGTATGATGGATTGACGGTAGGTACACGCGACGCCGCCTCTTCTCTTCTCCAACTCCAAAGTTCACTTCCCGCGCACGAATCGTCATCTTCCTCAGGCCATTATAATTGGCGTACGCAAGTGCGGCACAAGAGCATTGCTGGAGATGCTCTTCCTGCACCCGCAGATACAGAAGGCTGCCGGGGAAGTTCATTTCTTCGATCGCGACGACAATTACGGAAAGGGTCTGGAATGGTACCGTCGGAAAATGCCCTACTCCTTTAAAGGCCAGATCACCATCGAGAAGAGTCCTAGCTACTTCGTGACGCCCGAAGTGCCTGAGAGGATCCGCGCGATGAACGGCAGCGTCAAGTTGCTGCTGATCGTACGAGAACCAGTCACCCGGGCGATATCGGATTACACGCAACTGCGCACGCACGCTGCAACCGCGTCCACATTGACCAACGGTACGCCGCAACAACAGCAACAACAGCAGCAGCAAGTGGCGCGTACATTCGAGGAGCTCGTTATGCGACCCGACGGTACCATCAACGAGTCCTACAGACCGGTCGCCATATCCCTCTATCACACCTACATGCATCGTTGGCTGGAAGTGTTCCCCAGAGAGCAGATTCTCATAGTAAATGGCGATCAATTGATCGAGGATCCGGTGCCTCAGCTGCGCCGAATCGAGAATTTCCTCGGGCTGGAACCGCGTATCGGTCGGCACAACTTCTACTTTAACCACACCAAGGGCTTCTACTGCCTGAGAAACGATACTTCGGAGAAGTGTCTGAAGGAGAGTAAGGGAAGGCGTCATCCGCGTGTCAGTCCGATGGTCGTGACGAAGCTGAGGAAGTTCTTCAACGAGCACAATCAACGCTTCTACGAACTCGTCGGAGAGGATCTCGGTTGGCCGGAGGAATAACCATCGTGGAAAATCCGGACTCGTTCGTTACGCGACGCGAGTCGCGCGTGCATCCAGCGGCGGGCATGATCGTTCAAAATCAAATACCCTGTCGTCCTCACCGAAGAGATATCTCTACCGATTATCGATGGAATTAATCACGAATCGAAGAACTGACATCGTCGACGAAGACTCTTCGGGATTACATCGTATCGATCAGCGATATTCTTCGGGGACAAGGATAAGTAATTTATTATTGATTATCGATTCCTTTATTCTCGATAAAGAGATATAATGCGCTGATGAAAGTGTATAGGCGTCGTTTATTAGCGGATGCATACGAGGCCAGCGTCTTGTTATTATATTATCAAACATGCGTATATATTAAAAGCGTATACAAAACATGACACACAAATACCTACACTACACACATACACACAAAACACAAAAGTTACAATAACGCCGGCCAAAATAAAATAGAGACGCGGATCTGCGAGACGAACGCGATCGTCTCGTGGATTCACGCGGCATGCGGATCACATTGGTCCGTGACTTTACATATCAATTTTACATATCGATAGTTTACATATCAATAGGTTAACTAGTTCGTACGACAAAGATTGAATATTTTTATAATCCACATTGGAAGTTGTTATATCGCTTATGTCGTTAAGGATATTACGTAACGCGAAGGACTCTCTCGCGCGTGATTATGAAGATCGAAAGTTTTATTTATTGCATCCCGCGCATGCACGACCCACCTAGGCACTGAGGGAACGTATAATTACGGTAGTCTGCTCTTTTTTGCAGAGAAATCGAGAGAGAAAGCCGAACAGAATATTTTCTTTTTTTTTTTTTTTCATTTCACTAAGTTTGTCTCTTTCTCTCTTTTTTTCCCGCAGAAACGCGAATGTTCTTCTCCATCGTTCTCTGACACTGGATATTGGTGCAAGCGTTCCTCTGGGAACACGAAGAGAAGTAGGGTGGAATCCGACCAACCGCGAATAAACTCGTCAGTAGCATAGACGGAACGGTCGTCGAAGCTTTATCGTAGAAATCTTTATAATCGATTATTCTCCAAATCTCCCGATGGAGAACTCGAACATATAACGTTCTTTATATATAATGAATTTTGATCGAAAGACCGAGTATTACATGTATAATGAAAGCAACGCGACTTCATAACAGAGACTTCATCAAAAATTTATCACAATAGTATGGAACGCATTCCCTTTGTCGCGTTGAAAGAGTTCTTAATTATTACACGGATGATTAATAATTTAGTTCGATGTCGACGAGGATGATGGACGTCGCAAGACGCGAGTACCTCTGCCCTTTACAATCTACTCGAAGAGACATATTAACCTTCCGGAGCTGATAGTGAATCTATTGGATCTACTTAATTATTGAAAACATCAAATAATTCAATTTTTTATTACATTTGCAAAGGAGAGCCTAAAAATGACCAAAATTTGTCCCGAGTCGACACCTAAGAAACTAATTCCACAGTGTTTCTTGGTGTATTTGAAAGAGAAAAATAATATTTATAATATATCGAGAAGTACTAGAAAAATTGTTGATAACAATAAAATGTTATACAAAACGCGTACTACGCGCATACGTGACATTATGTTTCAGTTTTCTTTATTTCTGTAGGATCAGACTTGTATATATTCTAATATCTATATAAATATATACACATTCGCTCATTTTTATATGTATTTTACATACATACTTATACACAATAATCATTTTTAATAAAAAATATTAAAATTTTTTTAAATCATTCTTTGTTAGGCCTCATTTTGGTTTGTTCTTGTGTATTTTTTCAATATAAAAAGTAAGATATATTTTTAATGTACAGAAAAAGTTAAAAGACGATTGTATTTTATCCTATATTTCTGTACTATTCTGAGTTAAGAGCATCATATTAAATAAACATCATTAATTAATTGAATTAAAAAAAAGCTATTAAAAAATTTATTTATGTTTGTTTTACTGAAATAAATCTTTATTTAAACACGGCGAAATAAAATTTTAATTCTGGTAAATAAACAAGATAAACCCTTTATCTTATATTTTTACAATTAGTAGAAAAAATGAGATATATTTCACAGAATGTATATTTCGTCAAAGTAAAATTATTTTATAATCAATAAATATTGAAAAAAATCACAAGTAACATTTGTTTCTGAATATTTCGATTTTTTTTCTCAATTTGAGTTACAGATTTCGGCGTCAACTCTGGAAGGTTAAACTTTATAATATCGAATTATTATGATGGCTAATATCTGAACAATTTTACAGAAACTTATATATTTTTTCCTCAAATCTTTTTTTGAAAACGTGGATAACAGTTAATGAAAATCACTGACGATTAAAGATGAGTATAAGATATATCTGTTATTGAGAACACGGGGATAACAAGGGAGATGAAAGAAGCGAATCGTATGACAGTTTGTCGCTTAGCGACAGGTTGTTCTCTTGGAAGGATACGGCACCATAAATAATCCGCTTTGCGGCGCAAGTGAATCGTGCATGCGCGGCAAAATGCACCATGCGTTAATTCGTGCGATAAATACCGGTCGCTTAGGCTCCGTTTCAGCGACCGGAGATCTCGGGAATCGGAGTAATGGCGTTCTGAGGTCAAGTGCGTCAATTTCCTTTGCTCCGCGATTATTTCCAACAGATAAGTACACGTATCATCCGATATCTCCACAATTAGAACAAACAGTGTCATTGACTTGGAAGTTTAAAAAAAAAAAGGAATTTTGCGCTGATTAAATTATTTTCAATGAAACGAAAAAACGTTTATCTCTGGTACTGGAGCAGAAAAATTTTGTGTTTTTCATCTTATTTTTATTAATTCTGTTTTTCAGTTTGATTATTTAGCGAAACATCGCTTTATGCGCACCGACTCCGTTAATTACTTCGCTGCAATTTGCTTGCTGTCACGACTGTAACGTTATGCGCTGCTCGATCATCGGTTTCGCGAAATCCCGACGAAGTCTCGGTAACGACAATTTCGGGTAATTCGGTTCAAAGAGAGTCGTGGCGTCATGCGATTCGTCGTCGATCCTCTTTGCTGTTATACACGCTTTGATCAAATCTTTACTCGGTTGCATTCGTGTAAGTTGTAATTTCCGTAAACTACCTTTGATTCTCGTTGGATTATCTCACCAGTATACGGTTTATAGAGTACTCGGGATGTGAATCTTTCGCGATTAGTACACAAGGATACCCGGAGTATCTCTTCCTCTTCGCTTTCTCGAATAATGTCGGATCAATAAAGTCGGAACGAGCGAGCAATTGTTATCGCAAGTAAATTTTCAATTAAGCAAGTTAAAATACGCGGCTTGACCGAGGACGTATTTGAAAACGTCACGCCAACGTCTGCCCCATAATCTCGCAGACTAATATTTAATTCCACCATGACTGATATGACTCTCAAGTGAGTTTATTCCCTGCACGCAATCTCTTTCCTTCATTTAAAACGCATGAAGGAAAAACGCACATATCGCTCGATATTCCTTCTCTTGACGAGCGAAGGGCTCGCGTTACGACTTCCGACCCCCGTACTCAATTAAGGAACTTGTAGACCTTCTTTAAGGAAGTCACGGCACGGCTCGATAAGCTAAGAAGCGTAGCCGGTCACGTTAACCATCTCGCACGCTCGGTTACGCTCATTTAAAGAGGGAATATTTTTTAGTGATTTTCACACATTCTCTAATAAACGATAGTTTTTTGGAAATTCCAGCGGCATTCGATCGCCGATCAATCGGCATACTTTCTACTTTCTCGCCCCGAAGAGCAAATATCAAGAAAAAGATTTCTCGAGTGAAAATTGGCACGTCTAGATATACATAGTTGCGCCTTCAACTTTAATAATATCCGGATGCACATGATGGAATTGCCAAGTGAAAACTCTTTATGACAAATATTAAATTAACCGCGACTTTAATAAATCTTTCGCCAAATCATCTATCCGTTGGTCGTTAAAATTACGGCGCGAAAAAATATCGTCTCCGAAGCGGAGCAAGATAAATATTGTTCCTTTCCATCTCTCTCTCGTTACTGAAAGAGAACGAATAGGAGTTTCATTCCCCGGCGCGCATCGCGCGCGATCACGATATTCTCCCTCGGCCTCCGCGACCCCGGTCTCGGCCATTCACCCCGACTTTAGCGGCGTTAACAACTCCCTCCCCCTCCCCCTCCCGTCCCTTACTCTCGGAGGTTCTCTTTTCTACCCCTTTTTTTTCCATTCGTCGATGTCCGGTCAATCTACAGGGATTTCACGCGGTCCTTCCATTTGCGGGGTGTAAATGCGTAAACAAATACTTTCAACGTTGAAGTTAGCGCGAGAGAGTCTCTGCAAATATGTCATTTCGTCCGCACCTTCCGGATGAAATATGAAGCGGCAGGAACGAACACCTGCGATACAGATGTCGAACGTGTAATGTACCTTGTTACGTATACACAGAGGTGTCCGATGACCTATAAAATGTAACACACATCGCGCTGGAAGTAGAAATTGAATTTGGGTCTTTCGGAAACAGCTGCCTGTGCCCGGATAACCTCTTTGCCTTGACTGATCGATATTGCTCGCCATTCACGTGGACGTCCGGCGAAATGTACGCAGATCCAAGCGGATCCCTCTTGTCCCTTTCGTCTCCATTACGGATGCACCCTCTACAGAGGCGGGCCGAGATGAATATGTATTTTCTAGCGAGCATGGCACGCGAAAGTACTGAAATTTATAAAGACCCGTTGCAAGTATCCCGACCATTTCCCAAACTATTCCTCGCTTCTCGTATAATAACGATCCCGTGTCCAAGATATTTAGCCTTGAAGATGACAAACGATCCACTCGCCAAATTTTTATCGAGGAAAACTCTACCGCTGAAACTTTCTTTTGTATCTTTTTTCTCTTTTTTTTTAAAAATATTTTTCGTTTTTCTTTTCTCCATTAATACCGATACCCGGACAATGAAATAGCCTTGTCGTGGTCGCGAGAGACGCTT